GTGCCTTTCTTCGACTTCTCGTTATGATTTTCTTCTATTGTACTCAGCCAGTTCTAACTCATATCTGATCCAAGCTTCCTTGCGTTGCCTAGCATGGTTTTGGCGTCCTTGTTTTGACTTGTTTTTTCTTTCTCTGGCTTGCTTCTGAGTCTCGGTCTCACCATCGTAGCCCTAGACGAAGGGTGATATGTTGGATTCTGATTCATCCGATGACCTGACATCGGGCGCTTCTGGGGGGACCAATGGTGATCGAGGACGGCGAACCACGAGTACTTCCCGTGCGTGAACTGTTCTGTTATCGGCGTTAGTTTCCACACTGTCGGAGTTGCTGATAACTTTAGTAGAGGCTTCGAGGTCGTAGATCGAGTCTCCTTCTTGGTAGGGTAGAATTGTTGTTGTCGTCGCGTCGACCAGTCGGGTACTGCCTCCCTCAGGAACAGAGCCTAGCCAGTGGACGATGCAGTCTTAAGATGTTATAGTTAGTACGAGACCTTCCTGAGCTCCCTTCAGTGGCATTCTAAGCACCGGATCGAGGAATCCTTTGGGCCGTGTCTGATAAGATGTTGCCATGTTGTGGAGTCCGAACGGAAAAGGACCTGACTTCTTGGAAAGACTTTGAGTGTACTCCGAGTTGTATTCTTGATAGGCCAAAGCCACGTTCTTAAGCCCCATCGGAAAAGAACTTGGTTTCCCAGAAGAACTCGGGTAAGACTCCACTTCGGATGCAGAACCTGAGTTTGAATCGGATGCGTAAAGTCGCGAAATCTGAATCGAATCGGACATCTCGAGCTGTGCGAATCTTCCAGTGAGTTGACCTGTCGTAGTCACCGAAATAGAATGGTCTTCATGGTGATCCGAATCTTCGAGGAGACGGCTTTGGAGCTTGCCATTGTCGTCCGCCTCGCAGATCCATGAGCCAAAGATGAAAGTTGATCCCGTCGAGAAGATCATGCTGTCGAGGTCCATCGAGCTCTCGGATGCAAATTCGCCGAAAGCCCCTACCTGGCGCGCCAGCTGTCGATGTTTGACCATCGATAGCCTGCCACGGGGGTACCCGGGGCAGTATGTTCAGGCTTCAGCGTATGCGGAACTCGACGGTGAATGCAAGAGACGGTCGATTTATCCTGGTTCGGACCCTCGATCGCTGATCGAGTAATAGTCCTACGTCCAGTCGGCATTAGCCCTTGCGTTGGATTGATTGTCTAGAGTTGTGTTGTTACAGTCATAAAAGTCGTGATCCTCCCGTCTCTAGGAACCCTGCCCTCCTTTATATAGTCAGGAGGTCAGAATCCTAGTCGGTTTACAATGAGAGTTCCTAGTAGGATTACAGAATACTACTACTACTAAGATTACATGAGACTAGATCTTCTCCCTTCCTTGCGGGGTATCCCGTGGGTCCCGCACCGACAGTCGATGAACTAAAAAAATTGTGGGTGGGGGTCCAAACAAAGGATGCTTCACTCAAGCACAGCTTTACAATGAGGGCAAGTTACCTTTGGTCAGTGCATGATTTTCGTGCTTATGGAGACTTTGCTGGATGGAGCACCAATGGCAAATTAGCATGTCCATGTGGATATGGTTGCTAAGGATTTCAACTCCGTCATGGACGTAAGGCTTGTTGGTTTGATTGTCATAGATGCTTCCTTCCTATAGATCATCCATTTAGAATGCAAGCTAATGCATTTCGTAGGAACACAATAGTGCTTGAGGAACAACCTAGGCGCTTAACAGGGCAGGAAGTGGAAGACCATCTACAGAAGTTTGTAGATGATACACCAAACTACAGAAAACTACACAATTGGACTTTTGTGAGCTGCTTTAGGCAACTTCCATACTTTTCTAAGTTAAAGCTCCCACACAACATTGACTTAATGCATAATGAGCGAAATGTAGGTGAAGCTATTTGGAACACTTGCTTTGACATAGCTGACATGACCAAAGATAATGTGAAAGTTAGACTAGATCAAGCTGATATATGTGTCCGGCCTTCGCTTAATTTAGTGAGAAATAACAAGGGGAAGTGGAAAATGCCAAGGGCTCCATTCTGCATTGACAAAAATGACAAGATAACCATTCTTTCAGTGGTTCCAAGATCTGAAATTTCCTGATGCATATGCAGCCAACATCAGGCGTGGTGTTAACCTCGTGCAAAAAAGGATTTTAGGCCTCAAAAGTCATGACTTCCACATCTTTGTTGAGCGCCTTCTCCCAGTTGCATTCCGGGGATCTGAAGTTTATTTTTGAACTACTATACTTGTTTGGATGTAGGATCTTTATCGCAAATTAGATCAGGAGGTTCCAGAAAATCATAAAAGGCGTCTTGCAACTCTACAAACAAATGTAAGTACATTAACTTGATACTTGTACTTATGAAATCGGTATTAATTATGACAAAAAAACAGCTGATCTAAACCATTTTAAGTAGACAATTGATATGTTTTGATGTCAGAATGACAACACGCAGTGCAGCAGTGAGGGAGTGGCTTCATGTTGATGGTTACTGTAGTTTCCAACTTTCCATCTTAGTTTTAACCTCATGGTAAGCTGTACTTCTAGCTGTACTAAAACTTGCCACCTCCACTAAGAAATTTATAATTTAGTCCCACGGGAATCTGAAGGTTTGACATAGCTAGTAGATGATGAAATAGACTTTGAAATCTTATGCATGTCTAAATATTTCTTTCAGCTCCAGAATTTCATGGAATGCCAATTTATTTTATTTCTCGTCAGGGCCACTATTCACTTGTATATGCTTCATGTATGGTGCTGGTGTAAAAGGAAATCATGTATAAGACAATTAATTAATGTTTACCAGTCCTAAAATCCAATTGATATTTACATGGTATTATCATTTTGCAGCTGCCCACTAGTTCATCCCATGTTGGTGAGGACTTGGATGGTGAGGACATGGATGGAGAGGACGAAGAGGACATGGATGGCAGCTACATGGAAGGAGAGGACACGGAGGAGGACATGAATGAAGAGGACATGTATGAAGAGGACGAAGGGGACGAAGAGGACGAAGAGGACAGGGATGAAGAGGACATTGATGACAACAACGGGGCAGCAATGCTGGATCATACATCGATGACTTCTATGATTTGGGATATATATGGTAAGGTTGCTATTGACAGAAATAGCACATGGGTTGTCAAAGTGACTTTTGTCTATTGAACAACATAAGTGGTGGTGGTGGTCTGTCTTTTGTCTTTTGAACATGTATGGCTGTGGATGATTAACTTAGTAGTAATTGAATGTTAGATGGACTCGGCTAAAACTAGGATGTCGTGGTAGGTGACATGGCTGTACATGTATAAATTAGGAGCAGCAAATGCTGGTGGTAGTAGTAGAATTTTAGATGTAATTTATAAGGGCAGAACCTTTGGTATGTTGGCCCGTGTTGAATGCTTTGTAAGCTCTTATGGAACTTCTAATATATATGCTTTAATATTGTGACATGCATATAACTTGTTGTTTGGTGAATCGATAACAGATGTAATTGTAATATTTTGTGTCACCTACTAATTTCTCTGGTGGTAATTTGAGAAAAATTGTAATTTCCTTGACGGGAAGTCATCAGGAAAATTAGGTTGAACCAGCAGAAATAAATATGTTTACTTCCTTGAGGGTTGACCGACGAAAAATTACTATAGCCCACAAAAAATTAGCAATATCCCTGACGGTGAGCCTATAGGGAAATCAGTTAACCTGACGGTTCCTGGCGCCGCACTAAACCTCCGGACGTTACAATATTTTTGTCGGACATCCGTCAAAAAATTACCATCAGAAAAATATTTGTCGGTTGCCTGTCAGATTTATCAGCCTATGACGGTATATGCCTGTCGGGCTCCCGACAGAATTATTTTTTCTGATGGTTTTTCCCGTTTTGTTGATGGTTTTTTTGGCACACAGGAATAATGTAGTTTCCAGTGAATACTGGTTGCTCAGCTTGTTGGGGTCCGTCACACGGTTGTTGTTCAACACGGTGCCGCCCCCGCCTTGCGATGGGCACACTGCCTTGAGCCCTTGGGCGAAGGTGGCGTTCATGGTCGTGTCCACGGTGGGGTACAGCCGGGGCGTGACGAAGGAGCAGTGTGTTTGGCCGAAGGAGTGCGCGCCGGAGAGCGCCACTAGGTCGGTGGGGCTGAGGCCTTGTTGTCGAAGCTCGTGATGAGGTCCTGGACCTGCATGTTCGGTGCAGGGAGGTTTCCGAAAATGTCGTTCATGTTGGACACGAATCCATCGCGCCGGCCGCCGGGCATGGCGAAGGCGAAGTCGCCGGCCGGAGAGGATGGCAAAGTCGCGCGCCACGTAGGCGAGGATGTCGGCGCAGGAGACGATGCCAGGGCAGACAGCGTCCAGGGCCGCCTTGATTGTGTTCACTTCGACGTAACCACGACGTAATGGAAGAGTCGCAACTGGTCGAGCTGAAATGAAAAAAATTGATTCATCCGTGGTCAATGACTTACACATGAGCTTGTAGTGCTCTCTGTATCTATATCTACATCTACATCTTTTATAAAGCTAATCCCCACTACAAGTGTATCTCAACATTATTCAAGTCATCCACGTCATATCCCACTATTTATCTACATCATCTCCCACTAATAATTATGTTATTCCACTAGAGCCTTGATTTTTGAAGTGGGAGATGATGTGATATATTTGTCCTATTACCTCTTATGAGGTAATATGTGATTATAGCCATCAAGATCGATGGTCCACAATTATTTGGAGGTACCATAGCAAAGCCCATTCCACTAACTTCCAATCTCTAATTTGCAAGCTATCCACGTACATCATCTCTACTCATTTTCATTCCAAATTCTTCATAATATCCGTAGCAACACGCGGGGTATCTTCTAATTACATATATATATATATATATATATATATATATATATACACACACTAAACATCACTTTTGACATTTTGTTCCAAGTTCTAATTAACCATGCATTATTACTCACAATTTCACATATGTCACAAAGGAGAACAGATTAATCATTTACCTTGACGAAGCAGTCATGGAAGAAGAGCCGCACAAAGGCGGCACCCATTGTGGGGTCATTGTTGATGATCCTCTGAGTGGCGTTGCGGACAGCCTCCTCAGCTTTTGGGCACGATGAGCTGTAGAAGTTGTACTGCAATTAATGCCGTACCAGACGCCGTGCTCGGCGCAGCTGCGGTGATCACTATGATCGCTAAGGCCTGGCATGCTGAGGTCGCCATCGCCATGTCTCAGTACGTGTAAGCTATGCAAAGCTTTCAGAAATCTCTCTCTCTCTCTCTCTCTCTCTCTCTCTCTCTCTCTCTCTGTGTGTGTGTGTGTGTGTGTGTGTGTGTGATGAATGGAGTGTTTGATGCTGACAGCAGTGTGGTCTCCGCGGGTATTTATAGATAAAGACGCGAGGAAACAAACGTTGCGTTGCTGACGCACGCATCTCTGTCTAGTGCAGGGAGCTAGTTCGTTCACTGCTTGTTCTGTTTTGTGTTTGAATAATGTATGCAAGCTAGTCAACTACTGAAACAATGATTTGGGAGGTTACTGCTAATGCTACACCATAAACTGATTACAACTGTTGGCTGTTACAGCATCTAGTTCTTGGCGTGTTGACATTGCCGATCGATTATCATACATGCATATACTACGACGTGCTAGCTTATTAATCTCGTGTTCAGGATTAGATGGCTTTAGTTTGAGCTAGTGCATTGACATTGTGGTGTGAAGAGAACGCAGCTAGCTAGCTTAGGGTAAGATTCCATGTACCTAATATAATCAAGTTGCTTGTTGACTTGGATTTGAGAATTCCGTCCTCTCTACCGACAAACTCACAAACAGAAGCAACGACCAAGAATGAAAATGGCCGGCGGTTGACTACCTACATGTTTCATACTTGTTGGAAGAGCATTATATATGTCCGATCAAGAACGTTGTCTCTTTTATTTATTTGATTTGATCTAAGACGACGTGTTTTTATTAATTGATGTCGCGCGCATATGATTGTATATGCACATATCTTATTTAGAGATAGGGATTTGGGGACAAATATGTATTGCTCGAACATTCTCTCTCCGCTAATTTTTGCGTCTGTTAACAAAAGAATATCAACCAACTGGCGGGTGGTTACCACATAATCCACATTTGAATATGGTTTTCTTTTTGTCTCTCCTGTTGTTCGATTATACATTCCCTCCACTAATTTTAGGAAGATGGAAGAAACCGACTGTCAGCAAAACAAATAGCTTGAGATATATATATATAACTACTGTTCTGCTGCTGGCTATAGAATAACTTATTCTGTGGCCACTTTGAGTTACGATAATTACCATGCTAATTTACTAGATTATAGTAATTTCTTACTAAGTGATTTTACTATAACATTATGGTAAATATCACCGTGAGTTATAGTAACACGAGGATCGTAAATGCATATTCATATTATCATAAATTGGTACAAACATTATGGTAAATCAAGGTGGCTATAGAATAAGTTATTTTATAGCCAGCTGTAGAATAGCCTTACCCTATATATATATATATATATATATATATATATATATATATATATATATATATATATATATATATATATATATATATATATATAACACATAAGCACGTTATCACCGACACAGCTGAGCGCGTCTTCCTATGCATATACACACACCAATAAAAAGATATATAGATGTATTGCGTGACTCTGTAACTTAATTAATGTAGCCTTTTTTTTACAATGTTCATACTTCGCATATGGCGTCCTGGTGTGGAGGTATACATGCATGGTACTAGGATTTAACATTAATCTTCACGTTGCCAGTGTTTATTTATTTGCGCGCATTCCAGTTTGTTAAAAAAATTTACATACTGGATGCCGGTGAAGGACGAGATTACCAACGGTTAGCTAGCTGTTGTTGACTTCGGTTTGGACAAAAAATTCATATCTATATATAGCTGGCTAGCTGTCAACGACTTCTTTTGGAGGTTGCATTGTTGTAACGGACGATGATGTGCCTAGCTATAGGCTCAATCTGAAGATCTGGACATGCATGCGTGCTTCATATTAGCAGGCATTGACTTGGCTAGAGATGCAGGGATATATGACGGATAACATTGCACGTTGAGCACACACAACCGAAAGAAATCTGGTTTATTTGTTGGTCATAAAAGTATACCCGAGTCGGACATAATCATAATCTTGTATGTACGCCGTCGGACATACGTACATTTGATATAGATCAATGATGATGTGTTTGATGATTAAGAAAAATGAATTCTTATTAAGAATTATCATATACTACTGCTAACTAGTATAGTGCACTAGTAGAGGAACGGGCTGTACTCCCGGTTCTCAATCCCCTTCAGTCCCGGTTTTAGAACCGGGAGCACGAATCCGGGACTAAATGGTTCCTCTTTAGTCCCGGTTGGTAATACCAACCGGGGCTAAAGAGGCCTCCCGGTCTAGCCACGTGGGCCGGCCCTTTAGTCCCAGTTGGTATTACCAATCGGGACTAAAGGTTTTTTTTTCTATTTTTAATTGATGATTCGTTTTGATTTTCGAATAGGTTTTCGCTGCTAATAATATACGTATTCTACACGTTTATAATATTCGAACATTTTATACAAACTAAAGTATGAAACTAACATATATATTACATGCATATACATATATTGTACGTTATTTTATGTACATATAATATGTATATATATATATTACAATAAAGCTTGCATTGTATATTCTATCATATCCTTGGGATAACAAATTCACTCCATCTGGTTTGGCTTCCATGTTTCGTTCACGTCATTGTAGAACTCGTCGGCGGGGTTTAGGACCTGGTCATTAAAAAATCCTGCTATGGTCTCTTGAATTGCTTTCAGTTGGTCACGTCGTATGACTTTTTCCTTCAACCATAGAGTCTTCAATAAAATTTAAAAGAAAAGTATTAATATATATATATATGTTGGTCACATGATTACTTATATACATGAGCAATAAAAGAAATTGTAAATATATGAATATATTTATATAACGTACTTTGAGGTTCTCTTCGGGAGTTCTTTTTGAGTACGCCATGATGAACTCGCAAACATAGTATCCGTAGTAGTTGTTTCCCTGTTCTTACCTCAGAACCCACTTTTACGAGAAAAAAGATCCGGTGAATTGAAAGCATGCATGGTGTTAATTGAATTATATATATATATATATGTAGCTAGTACTTACTTTGTGTGCGATTACATCAAGTGGCGCTTTGCAATGTTTCATGTGGTGTTCCTCAATGAAACTTTTCCAAACACTGTGCCCAATAAAATAAAAAATTAATTTAGCCTTTAATAATTGTTACAGTTAAGAGATCAGGGTATATATAGTTGCTAGAGAGACCAAATTACCCTTGGATAATATCTATCATGTGTTGGTACTCTGTTTTCTCTTTTCTTAACGAGTCTAATATGCTCAACCGACTATTGGCCATATCGATGACCATCAATATCCAGTGATTGCTGTATATGTTTTTATACACAAATATGATCAACATTAACTAGAGTCAACATATGTATATATGGGAGATAGCTTAGCTAGTAATCAAATAATTGAACAAATATCCATATGATCGACATTAATTATTTAACACTCACTTGAAGTTGTAGGAGAAGAGTATGTCCTTGTTTTGTTGGTTCACTAAGAACCTCATAAGATTTTTCTCGAGTTCAGCTTTCCATCCAGGCGGAGGATCAGGGTGTTTGAATACGACATTTGGATCAACGAAACCAACATCATTATCCTGTCACTTTCTGAGTTCTGTCATCTCATATCTGCATATATAAAAATATAGTGTGAGGATATATAATTTATATATATACATGTAGCTTTATATATATATACTTTAATAGTAGAAAATAATCACACTTACAGACAATAGCAGCTAATGAGACTTTTGTCGAGAGAGTCCAAGTGGCATAGTTGGTGTAATTCTCCAAACTCAACATATATAACGTCATCGCCACGGAAGTAATGTTGGTTTTTAACTCTAACAGAAACAAAGTTCTTTCCCCGTTTACACGCCGCCATGTACCACTTGTTTAGTAGGTACATTTGCGTACCCAGTTCACATAAGGCCTCAGGGTTGTATAGACTCTTTACATGTTTAAATTTCTTCCAAGGATCCACTTTCGGAGCAGATGGTCCTTCAGCGAGCACTTGGGCAAGGTCCAAACCAGTATCCTCATAAAACCGAACCAGGTCCTCAAAATCGACGTCCGGTAAATCTAAGTTTGAACCATATTCATTACGAATGACAAGAGGGGGACTGATTGTTGCGATTGTTGTCCGAGTTGTGCAACATCTTTCCCTGCTCTAGTCTTTTTCTGTGCTGCCTCAAATGACTTGGTGAGAGAGCGGTCGTAGTCCGATTTTGGCAGGGTCTTTTGAGATTCCCGCTTTTTCTGGTCCACTTTCTTTCTTAGAAGATCTGGAGGTAGGTAGAAGTACGGTTTCTCCAGGTTCTCCCTCACTTCTCGTTGCTTTCTTACTTTTTCGAAGAAACTTTTCACATCTTTTTGTACTGCATCCTTTAATTTCTTTTCACTTTTCTCGTAAGATAGTTTTTGAGGAATAACTGGATTAGAGGAGACTTTCTTCTTTGCCGGCTCATGGGCCAACAACTTCGTTTGCGGGGTGGACCTCTTAGGAGATGGCTGCTTCTTGATCATCAAGGGAGCCGGAAGTAGACTTTTACTCCTGGTTGGAGGGACCAAACGGGAGTAAAAGTTAACCTTTAGTCCCGGTTGGTAGCTCCAACCGAGACTAAAGGTCCCCTGCAGCAAAAGCCTGCCGTAGTAGCCGTTGGGCAGGGACCTTTAGTCCTGGTTGGAGCTACAAACCGGGACTAATGGTCTCTCTAGTTCTGGGCGTGAAAAATACCAGGACTAAAACCAAATTTCGAGCTGGATCAAAGGTCGTTTCTCTACTAGTGGTGGCTGTGCTAACGCCACGGCTTCATTTCTAGGATGGACATGTAAACAACCGAACAACGATATTTTTCTTCCATAGTTCAACTTTTACACAACTGTATGTATATGACCATGTATATGATACGGAATACACTATGAATAGCAAGGCATAATAAAGTGATGGCAACATATCGTGTGCAAACCAATCAACCTATGCAAACTTGGAAACTACCAATCAGGACCACTGGATGCTGATCCAATGGATGGGGTGATGGGGCTTAAGTGCAAA